ACGAAATACAGACTACGGCGTCTATCGTTTTAATGAGCGAATTTAATGCGCATGTAGGAGTAGACGCTGAACAGTGGCAAAACGTTATAGGAAATTTCGGCCCTAGTGACTTCAACAATAACCGCATGAATTGGTTGTGGTTGTGTGCAAACAACACACTATCTGTTATAAACAATTTCTTCGAACATTATAGGGTGCCTCAGTATACTTTGCATATAAAAGGTTACTCATTGTAGTCGATGATGGATTTGACAATCATATCCTTTGACTTTCTACCCTCTGTAATGGATGTTCGCGTTAAGAGAGGTGCAGAGCTGTCTTGTAATCTGCACGCCATGCTGTAAGACGTTGAGTACCATACGAAGATATGGTGGCAGAAGCAACCAGAGAATCAAATGGGAAACATTATCTGCGATGGACACGAGAGTAAAATTTTCAAACAACATCGCAAGACGGTTTGAACAGATCCTGGTGATGACTACTGATCTGGAAACCCTGGCTGCTGCGAATCTGAAGATTCAAAATGGTTGTCTGCCGCCTTGAGGTCAGGAAAGACTTTCCTGGTGGACACGAAGAGTACAACTGGCAGTTAAAGAGAAGGTTGCATTCAGGAAATGGCTAGGAAACAAAGAACCTTCAAGTCTCATGCAGTATGTTGAAGGGTGCAAGGCTGCAGCTAAAGCAGTGACGAAATCCAAAGTTTATTCCAGGGAGAAATTCGGTGAAATGTTGGAGTCGAATTTTCAGAGGACAAGCAAGGTGTTCTGGCAGACCATTCGCGGCTCCGAGTGACAAGAAGGGCAGTATAAGCCTCTTGAAGGGTTGGTCTGGACATCCTCTTACCGAGGATAAGCACATTCTTTGGCCATTGAAAGTGGACTTTGAGGAACTTTTTAACCCCCGAGTAACCGCAGGAAGACTCGCCTAGAGCAGTGGGGAGCGAATTTTACTATTTCTGTAGATGAAATCACTCAAACTGTGAAAAGCTTGAAAAGTGGAAACGCTGTTGGAATTGATGAAATCCGCCCTGAATTGTTCAAAGCATTTGGTCCAACAAGGTTTGTGCTACATATCTACCAAACTGTATTCGCTACGAAAAAGACAGCAGAGGACTGGAGATCGAGGGTTGTTGTACCCTGTTCAACAAGATAGATCATAGAAGGTGCTTCAGTTATCGGGACATTATGTTATTGACTACGCAAAGGTGCAAAAAAAGAGGTGGCGCGGGATAATTGACTCCAAGATACAACGGAGTGTGGCTTTCGGCCCGGTCGAAGCACCTTTGACGATATGTTTTCCCTACGCCAGATTGTTGAGAAATCGTGGGAGTTCGCCCATCCGGTGTACATGTGCCTTGCTGACCTTGAGAAAGCCTATTACCGGATCCTAAGCAACAGTCTGTGGCCATGCCTGCGAGCATATGGGATCCATGGTCAGTTGCTAAGAGCCATACAATCATTATATGCTGATATTAGGTGCTGCGTCAGAGTAAACGGCGATATGTCGAAAACTTCGGACGTTGG